CCGAAGTCCGATTGCAGCCATTTACCAAGTGGCAACCCTCAACTTTCTCGGGCACTTAGGACCATTTCTTAACCGTAGTTTTTAGCCCTTCTGCTCTCATATGAAAGCTCAAAGACCCAGGGAGATGATCCTGGCAACGATTTACACAATCTCACCATTTTTGGAGCCAAACAATCTCCTTTTTCAAAAGATACTGCGGGTGCACTTTTAATGCTAATGAGCTGGTCAGAAATTCTCACTTGAATTAGTGGTCTGCACCCTGTAAGAGCTGTTGGTCCATAGATATTAGGTTTGTGGTCTTCCCTTGTTGATGTTACAGTATTACTGTAAAACAGCGCCCTCACTTGTTAGGAAAAGGGAAAGACAATTTTAAGTGTTTAAAACTCACTTTTTGATGCACTAAACCCTAAAGGGGTGTCTGCAAAAAATTTTTAACAGAGTACAAATCACAAATGCTTTTAGAAGTAATGGGTCAGCAGTGTCAAAGGAATTCTTTTGTCATAGTTCATTTTCTGACATAAAAATGGATGGAAAGCAATAGACACCAACACTTTTTTAATGAAATAAAAAGTGTAAAATTTTTGAGCGTACAAGGATCCTGTAATTTTTGAAGAAATGTCTCAATTTCTGCTGCAACTTAATTCCTTTTGTGATTAATTTCTTCCCCAGACCTCCTCGTATGAAAGCTGGTGGTATGCCCCAGGGGAAGCAGACCATGATGATGATGAGAAAAGCGCCCTTGCCTCCTTCAACCTGGAGAGAAAGGAAGATGGAGGACAAGATCCTATGGGACTTCACAGAGATGATTCATGGGAATGTCAGGGAGAGGAAGGAACTCAGATAGATGCCAGTCCTCACCTCCATCACTGAGATTGCATGAGGGATCCTCATCAGAATCTTAGGCATTGATTCACAAAAAGGCAAGGAAAGGACTCAATCTTCTTAGAGATGCAGTTTCTTGCTTCCACCTTAGTGATGGAGCAAGTCTATCTGCATTTGTACACTACTCAAAGGATCATATGTAGTGATCAATAATTTAAACACATGGTATTCACAGCGCAAAAAATGACCGTCATTTAATTTGGCTATTGGTAAGTTCCGCTACAGAGTACTGAAGTCTCACGACACTGAAAAAGCAACTTTGGTCAGCACCTTGTCCAGGTCCTTTACGGCCCTGAAAATGATGTCTAAAAAATTGCATTTTAACCAAGTTATTTGAGGGTGCTGTTTATGAGTAAAAATGATATCGCAGTAATGTGAGGCCGCTATTTATGAGTTAGAATGATATCGCAGTAATGTGAGCACAGTTTATGAGAAAGAATGATATCATGGTAATGTGAGGGCACTGTTTATGAGTTAGAATGATATCGCAGTAATGTGAGGGCACTATGTATGAGTTAGAATGATATCGCAGTAATGTGAGGGCACTGTTTATGACTGAGTTAGAATGATATTGCAGAAATGTGAGGGCACTGTGAATGAGTTAGAATGATATCGCAGTAATGTGAACGCAGTTTGTGTTAGAATGATAACGCGGTAATTTGAGGGCACTGATTATGAGTAAGAATGATATCGC